CTTTGTCCAGGGATTTTCAACCCAATTACAATTAAGTTTATACTTAATTGCTTAATGCCGGTACGTTCCAAGTTAAGTTACAATTTATTTTATTTTAGAGAATTATATGATATAACTCATTTACAATATAATGAAATCAAACAATTAAATTTGGACACCAGGCCATATTAATTTAGAAATAAAGAAATGAAATGTAGAAAGATGAAAATAATCTTTATTTGAACTCCTTGCATTAACATTAAAAAGACAACCATGAAATGAATAGCATGACCAATGTATTCAACAAAATTACGTTGAAAAAAAGCTTCTCACACCACATTGGACGTCCATCACCAAGATGATGACAGCCGCTGGCAATCATACAATATAATGTATCAAATATTGTTAAAAAATACTAAACATTGCTTTTAAATTTAAATTTCAAAAATTGAAAGGCCGCTAAGTGAGAAATAGTGAAGTGCATGTGTTACTGCCACTGAATGCGCAAGGAAGGCTTCTCCAAGATGAGAAGCATTGGAGCTATAGGTTGCTATGGATTCAAGCCTTTACAAGCTCAGGTCATTTCTTTGTGTCATTGGAAGACAGCGTATGGCCGCAGTCAAAAGATTGTGCTTCCAGCTTTGCCGTGACTTTATGACCTTGAGCATTTATGTCTCATTCAAAAGACTAAGAATTTTCTTTCTACTTACTAGAATGTTGCAGCTACTAACTGACAAATCTCTATTACTTTTTTGAATCTTGCGGCCCGCTTATGCACTTGTGTAAACAATAAGATACGAGGTAACTCATAAAGCACACAAAAATTTGCTGCTAACAATCAAGAATGTGAAACCTAGATGTGCTCTTAATTTTCATACCACGATTTAGAAACTAAGCACTTGCAAAGCTTACATCATATCAGGCTACACCTTCCCCTTAAGTGGGAAGAGTGGCACAAAATTGTGAAGGAGCACATTCTAGAATGTGAAAGAGAAGAACAGCAGGAAACTTTCTTCAAGTGATGTATGCTCAAACAAAGGAAAAAGTGGCAGATTCTCCCAGCAAAATCCAACCCGAAATAACATCACATTTTGAATATGAAGAAACATGGTCAAAACGCAAAAAGGAAACAAAGGATCCTACACTACCTTTACGCAAAACATTCATATCAGCAAACATGAATGAATGAAAGAGAGTAGGAACAAGAGATCCTTATGTGCTCCTGGAGCAAACACAATTTCTTCCCCATTACGTTGTATCACATCATAAGTTTATTCAAGCTTGAGATCTTGTTAAAATGCAAATGACTTGCAATCCTTGACTTGTTATAATCCTCAAAAAAAAAAACCTTCACTTTTAGTACTGATCCTCTCCACTGATACTGATGCTGCACTGATCACAACCGGTAGTACTGATCCTCTACTTAAATATATCAACACGAATTTCACTCTGCAACATGCTTGCATGAACAATAAACAGAAATGTTCAAATTAGAAAACATATTTCTTTGATTTCCTTTGAATGTCTTTGAAACTGCAACAACTGCCACGCCACCTATACCTCTCCTCCCTCATCTACCACAGGCGCCCCCGCATCCGCCATTGCATCATGATTAACAACTTGTCTAAATAATGGAGCACCAACAATTATATTTTGCGGTCGCACAGACGAGAGGTGCAGGGTAATACTAGCAGAGGGGGTGTTATCCGCTTCGTGGCGACGCTTATACCATCCCGACACAAGAAATGAAGTTTGGTTTTCTTTATAATAAGCCAGGATATCTTCTACTGCATTCTTGATGTCGGGGAAGCCTGCTTCGCTCATCTAAATTTAAAAAAATCTGTGTAAATTTACTGCATAACTTATAATGATAGAATGTCAAAAAATTTCATAGCTTTGAATTTTTTGCATACATAGGCAAATATTTAATCCTATCATTATAACCCAATTTACTACAGGCTAATAAATTAAACTTATAATCATGTTCATAAGTCTTCAATTCTTAATTAAATATACAATGTAACTAAAATTGTAACACATTCCATGCAATACTAGTCCTGTTGGAAAAAATTCTGTTATCATACTTGTAGCATAAACTTACTTTACGACTGTCTTCATGAATGAACACTGCTGCAAGACTTTCACTGCAAAATTGTACAGTATCTTCAGTTATACTTGATAATTCTTTGATCTGGAAGTAGCCGTGCATTGAAATGCAATTTACTCGGCCACCGCCAAAACTTGGGCACTTTTTGTAGGGCTCCATGTGCTGTGAATCACAACCCCGACTTGCGCATGCACGAATTATACTAGGTCGAAAGATGCAAATATCACTCTGGACGGTGAAACATTGAATATGGTTGAGTTCTTCAAACTCGGGCATCACTGTATTAATATTTGCAATTGCCGCATTGCGTACGGGGACTGGTTTGCTGATACAGCTAAGTTGTTTTATCCCGTGGATTGAGGCACCGATGATCGGTTCGAAAAAGGCAACTACACATCCAATGTGTATATCCGTATATCGCCAGAATAACTTGTTGCTCTCCGCCTGATTTTGACAGAGAACATAAAAAGGGCTGCCACCAACCACCTCCCTGTGAATGGATTATCACTAATGATTAATTGAAAATAGACATTGCCAAATGCAAGCATCTAAACAACATTCAAACTTTTATAATATTAATTCAGCAATCTAAACGAATATAAACGATAAAATGAATATTTCAGAGCAACACAATATAATATACGTAAATAATACAATTCTCACCGAAACAACACTAAACGGTCATACTTGGAGATGACCAAACCCTTGCTATTTGCAAGTTTACGTGTACTGTCTGGATTATATTTTTTTATTGAAAGTATTTCGCCGTAAACTACAATTTTGTCCTCCTCAACAGTGATCTCTTCAAGTTTCCTATAACGGACATTGTCACCTGTAACATATGCCACCGCTTCAGCATACTTCTTTGCATACAACAACTTATTCACTATGCTACTCATTATTAGTTCTTCTGTAAATCAAAAATACTTAAATTAATCAGAGACAGATGCGCAGAAGACAACTTCGTGACTATAATTAATTGGCATTATTCCCAACATTTACAATCCCAATATATTGATATATACACCAATCCTGACTGATGGAAAATGTGCAATAAATATTCCATTAAATCTACAATGACAACTGCAAAGTTCATTAAAAAACATAAATTTCTATCCAAATTCCATAGTACGACCAAGTAAAAGTCTGTCTTAGATGCATATTTGAAGTGATCTTCCTTATAATAAGGTTCTAAATTCTTGACTAAAATTTTAAACCTTTTTATAACCGGAAAACTTTGTAGCAGGACTGATCCATTTGAAATACAATCAGTTTGCATATCTATAACGAGGTGCAAAAACTGACAAGCATTTTTATAGTTATTATTTGGTAATCCAATGTTTCAATTTATTGGTCTGGGCAAATAATAGTTTTATTGAAATTTAGTGAATTAGGTGCAGTGACTGCTGCAAGGTAAAATTCAGCAAGGAAAGAGCTCCATACTGAATACTGTAAGGTACTAAAGTCTAGGTGCCACAGTGACTAAGAAGGAATAAACATTATATGTGACAATAATGTGAGGCATGAGCACATATAATATAGCTAGGCTGTAGCAAACCCTTCTGCACCGCCAATAGATTTTAATACAATATAGTCAGATGGGGGAAAACAGAACCAAAATCACTAACAAGCATGTAGCACCTATAAAATGAATAAATGAAAAACCTTTCACCTACCAAATGGTATGTTGGTGCAAATTGCAATGGAATTCTATCCCTCAACTCAGACTTTTTGGAAATTGAACCTTTTTCTGTACAAAGCAAAAAAAAGTGAGCACCATGTTGGGGTGAGACAGGACCAGCCTCTAAGTTCAAGATTTCTAATCAAATTAAGGACTTGATATTTAATATTACTTACCTAGAAACATATTAGATAATGAAATGACAAAGAAATTAATCTTTTTAAATATAAAAATGGTGCTTACAGATTATTATAATTTACTGCAGGCCTTGTGTCAGTCACCATGTAGGTAGCTATATATGTATTTCATTACAAAGTCCTTCAGTCAGTCCATTACCAAGTCCATGGTTGTTGGTGTAATCTTGGTGCAACCTTTTTTCTTTTTATTTTTGAAGAAGGGCTGTTGCCTCTACATTAGGAAATTAAATTAATTTATATACTTTGGTTGTTTTATTTAAATTTTTGGGCTCTGTTATGTATAGCAATTTTTTTTTGATACACGTTTAACCATTAATTGTATAATAGTAAGCTAATTTGACAAATAGCTAAATTTATCTCAGTGTGTAAATCAACTTAACATATTTTTCTAAATATCTATACTTATATCATGAAAGTTACCATTAAACTTGGATAATAAAGTAATAATCTAATAGTGTTAACATTCACTTCACCTAACACAAGATCAACAATATGAATTAGGTATATGGCCAGATTTTATTATTTAGCCTATCTAAAGTATGCCATATTAATCTGACGTCAGACTTGCATTTTGACGTCAGACTTGCTATTTGATGACAGACTTGCTTGTTTTTGCATGAAGTTTTCAAATTAAAAATTGCTGGTCCCACAAAGTAGAATTCAAGATGGGTCAGAATACAGATGGTAACAGCAGACTTGGGGCATCCAAGATCCAGAATCAGACAAAAAAAACTTAGGCTATAAACAAACAAAATTCAATTATTTCCTGCTTTAAATCCAGACGTTTAGTATAGATTTCCTACACATAATCATACCCTCTTAAATTAGACAAAATTTTCTCCGAATTTTTAATAACAAATCCTATATTGTTCATTTAATGAGATTTACTTATACAATTCATTTGTTTACAGTTTCAAATGGGTCCAACACAAAAATGTCACTCATGCGTGCGTTGCACATGGAAATAAATAATTTCACAGGTAGATAATCGTCCAGTTTGCATGAGATATGTGGTGGTTGCTCTCACTATGTGGTGCTGAACTTTCCTGGGATAATTTCCTCCAGAAAAAGTATTTCTTTACATCTCTAACCCAAATTCTAACGTCAATTACTTCTCGAACAAATTTACGGCCGGATCCGCGGCAAGTCTCCTAATTCAGTGAGCATGGAATATCTACCAAAGTAATGAACTTGTCGCGATGCACTCGGTACACATATCATTAGTGGACATGCGATAGTTTATGGCCCCTAAGCGAACTTCTAACTATAAAATACTGAAACGAAACCTTGTTGAGCAAAATGATATTTTAGAAAATCTACGATCGATTGTTCCAGCGGGAAAACGAATATTATTCATCATTGCAATAATAATTTTTTACTAAAAAAATTTTTTAATTTAACTTAAACAATTATTTTTAGATTGCAAATTTCGATCTAAATGAACCAAATTTAATTTAATTGATTGAACCCCTCAATAGAATTATCAAATATATAGAAAATAGGCCTTAATTCAGTTCCGGCCGTCAAAATAGAATCACTGAATGCTTCAATATATGTACAATCATTTGTGTTCACTCAAAAAATGGACCTTCGATCGTTGGCAACATCAGGACACTGAAGCGATCTAATGAACATAAAATAATAAAACCAAACCATGCTCACAAAACCGACAAATATGAAAAAAATAATAATATGATTAAACAAAAAATATTATTTTTTTATATATCAAATAATACATACAGCTCGCACTAATGAGCAAGCTCTCCGAACTCGCGACGTATACATACAGACGTAAAACTAATATCAAATTTTTCGGACATTTCCCGGTATTCAAATATACTGAAATAGATCAACTACGCTAATGATTGAAGCACACGTGCGCACACATGCTAAATCAAACGTTTGTTTTCCTCGTACTAAATGTGGATAAATAATTCACATTCATATAAAAATTTGTTTAATTTGACTCGAAACAATTGTACGATATGTAATCAAAACTTCGAAAACGTTTGATGTTTTCAATGTTCACCGAAGTTTGTAAAGTACAATTGTACGATTGCTATTTTCGAAAATTTTTGAGAAAATTTCGGACACAAATAAATTGGTTCATAATCTTAATTTCCATAAAAATGTTATGGTATCAAAATGATCCCCGAAGTGTATAGAGTTCAATGGTATGATCGCCATTTTTGACAATTTTTTTTATGATATTCAGACTAAAAATAACTCAAAGGGATATAATGATAACGGTTTTTCAAGCAATTCAGCATGTCATGGTGCATGAAAAGAAGCGATATCGATGGTTGTTTTCTTCTTAATAAAGTTGAATTGCGTTTTGTATTCATTTCAAAATGGGTTTCCATCACCAAGAGAAGGGTTGAGAATGAAGTGTCAACATTATTCTTGCTCCACAATTTTAAATATTTTCTCATCATGGCCAAAATCAAATTACGCTGGAAGCCCAAAATTAATTCTATTCTAAATTAATTCCAAATCTTGTCTATGAATGACCTTATTTCAAAGTTAAACTTCAGGGAAACAACATTAAAATAAATTCCATTTATTGAATGCACTGAAAAAATATACACACAAAACCGTCCGTTAACACAGTACCGATAGATAAGGCATCTAGTTCTCATTACATCAATATCAGCACCTACTACAGCAAACTGCTACCATTGTTGATCATTTACGATGCGGCCTACACGCCCTGGGCAAGTGGTCGGACGAGGTCGACAGACTTAAATATTTCACTCAATACTTTTTTCATCCCCACGTCGTTCCAGTGGACAAGATCGGCTCGACCATCAAGGTAGTGGCGATGGAAGAGGTCAAACCGGTATGACCGACGCTTGACGTCGATGAACAGCGCCCCTGTGTTTATCACCCGGATGACACTGCTGCCCGGACCAGCCACTCCTGGTAAACGTATGTTTCAACTATTTTATGGATATATAATCAAGTATGAAAACAGCTTCATCGTAATTTTAAATGAAAATCAATACATAGTCATGATCAGTGTTAACCAATTGTTTTTTGTCGCGTTATCCAGACTAGGAAGAGCATGGCTTTGCCGTTGCAGCACCATTGCAAAAAGGGGATCGTATTCTACTGAAAATTGCCTAATTACATCGTTTATGCTCAAGTTGATATCAGCGTACAGATTATTGATAGCGTACCTTGTAAACCGAGAATGTGAAAGTTAAATTCTTTCCACACTCTCTTGACAGGATGCCTGTACCCGTATTTCATGAGCGGGGGAAGCGTCAATACGACGCATTCTGTGATGGCTCCAGCCCTACTGTGGTGTTGAAGCGCTGAAAACACCGCACGTAATTCTTCCTGTAAGGAGTCGAGACTTGGCACCCCTGTTGAACACTGAAAAAAGAGTATGCAAATTTGTTGGAACAAGATAGTCATATTTTAGAGCGTGAATATACATGTCAGAGTGGGACCAAAATCAGAGCCGGCAGTGGGACCTCTGAAAAATAACGATGTCCTTGTTGGAGACGACAAGAGCATGTGCGAACTTCTGGGAGCTCAATTTGAAAAAGTATTCAGCGAACCCCGATACTCAAGGCAGGAGAACGAAATTGGAGTCATTCAAGAACTTCCAGGGGATCGGGAGCTGATGAGCATTGAGTTTGAAACGCCGGATCTAGAGAGGAGTATCCACTGTCTCTTATACACATCTAGATGTGTATAAGAGACAGGAACAGGAGAATGCAGGAGAACCAGTGTAGTTTGGCAAGCAGGTATAAGGTGACTTCAAGCAAAGGATGCAGGCATTGATGAAGTTAGGTAGTTAGGCATAAGTTTAACAAACCATGCTGGTGTGTTATGAATGCACTGAAGCTTTACACTGACAAATGTTGGCTGTAAGTAATTGGTTAGGCCAATAACAAGGATATAAGTCTGAAACAAACACAGAAAGAAAGAAACACAAACAGTATTAACAACAAAGTTAATGAAAACCACTCCTTCCTATAAAAGAAAGCAATAAAAGGTTGCATGATCTAAAATGTCATGATAAATCATACGCCTAGCAATGAAAGTTATGCAAGAGACTGGAAGTTTAATAAGAAAGCTAAGAGGGGCAGTCTGCTCCTCTTCAACATCAAAAATTATTAAGTCCTATGGTTATGAACAGATAACAAAAAATAAAGAGCAAAAATAATTTTAACAAATTTACATTAATTTCAATAAAATATATTACAATATTTAATATTATTATTATATTTTTATTTCATAAAATTATTGAATCTTTTTAATTAAAATTAATAGCATCATGATCTCCGATTTTTTTAAGGGTACTAGTCTGTCCAATGTGTGCAACTACATGCCATATTTGGGGTCTGATTAAATGGAAAATAATTTATATGAATAGCTAGTAAGATGACATACCGTAGTCTTTTATGCTAATTAAAAAAATATTGACTGTAAAATTTTGATGCTCAAATATGCTCAACTATGCCAGACTTGCTCAGCTATGATGAGGATGAACGCCATAGAAACTGTAAAAATCTGAAAATTCCGTACAATACATTAAGTAAACATTGCATGGGCATACATAAAGAACTTAATAATACATTAAATAATGTAGTATACAGCATATCTCTTATACACATCTAGATGTGTATAAGAGACAGGTGTGANTTCATTTTTAAATTTAATTAGTTAACATTTATTTCTAATGGCAGCTCTTCGTTCGCATAAGCCAGTGGTTCCCAAAGTGGGCGATATCGCCCCCCTGGGGGCGGTCGAAAGATCTTTGGGGCCTCTGGAAAGATCTGTGTTTAATCTTTCTCTTTCAAAATTGCAGCATACTAAATATCAAGAAAGAGGCGTTTGTTTTTATATGTGTCTGTCAGCGGGGGGGGGGGGCGCTAGAGATTCACTGGAGAGCCAAGGGGGGCGCCAGCCTGAAAAAGTTTGGGAACCACTGGCATAAGCGGTAAGCCACTCACCCGCGTCAAGGGGGCTGCCTGCAAGTCAAAAACAATACCTATTAACATTATTTGACTTTTGATGTTTCTAGTATTGTTTTTGACCTGCCTATGAATGGATTTTAGGACTTTGTCCAGGGATTTTCAACCCAATTACAATTAAGTTTATACTTAATTGCTTAATGCCGGTACGTTCCAAGTTAAGTTACAATTTATTTTATTTGAGAGAATTATATGATATAACTCATTTACAATATAACGAAATCAAACAGTTGTTGCGAGACTACAGAGGCGGTCACCATTGAGAGAATCCCTCTCCTGCAATGTTAATATTAGACACACATGTTAGAAAAAATAACTCATTACTCCATTACTCACTGCAGTGAGTGACATAGAGCGCATTTTGTCGTCGAAGAAAACTCGAAGTCATGGACGGACAGACAGACAGGCAGAGAGCCAGACAGATAGAGAGGCAGACAGACAGAGAGGCAGACAGACAGAGATGCAGGCAAGCAGAAAGGCAGGCAGATAGACAGACAGGCAGGCAGATAGACAGGCAGACAGACAGGCAGATAGACAGGCAGACAGACAGGCAGACAGACAGTCAGACAGACAGTCAGACAGACAGTCAGACAGACAGGCAGACAGAGAGACAGACAGACATGCAGGCAGACAGACACAAAAACAGACAAAGACAGAGACAAATACGCCTCCGCGCGGAACTCAACCTGTTAATTTGGGTACAGTTAGTACAGTCATTCCTTGCAAGTTAATAGTTAGCTTTGGCATGTGTATAAGCATTAATGGCAAATTCAATCTAGCGCCAGCTAATTATTAAATACAAAAATGAAAAATATAACAGTAAATATTTCAACATTAAAGCCAGCTATGTACATGTGGGTAAGAAAAATACTAACAAAAATAAAATAAAGCAAAATCTCACACATTCCAACACTGTTCATAATGCAATGTTGAAGAAGCACATCATGACATCTTACCTCACAAGATGAATCAGGCACAATTATCAACATTTTCTGGACAGGCCTGATAAGCAGCTTGTAACCACGACTTGGATATTGCATAAGAGCCCCCTCTCCAACTGACATCCATAATCCTGTAACAAATTATTAAATACTCTTTTATTTGCTTCCACAAAATAATGCATGATGACGCTCTGCATTAAAAAAAATGACAATTACCAAGAGATATATGTTAGTCACACAAAAACCAAGATAGGCAGCTTTAGAGGAACAGCTAATCTAAACTTAATTTTATTACATAACATGACTAAAATAAAACAATCACTATATACTACAAATGAAAACTACAAAATCAGTGTTGATTAAACATTTAAATTTACCTGTAATATTTCAATTACTTTAATAGTTGGCATAATAAGGTGTATTATGCCTCAACTAACCTTATGTTACCATAACAGTGCAGTATGCAGCCTCAAGTTCCTGTGCCTCATCCAGTACATCAAGCGATACATAGAGCCGCATGTAATTATGCAGCGATTGGAATGTTGAGGCGGGCACCATTTAGGGATTCCCTCTCCTCAAATACCAACTCTCCCTTCTTTCATGATGCTTTGAAAACGCTACTTCTGCTGTCACTCTAGTCTTCTTTTCTTGTTGCAACTTCTTACTTCGACATCCTCAGGCAACGGTCTTTGACTTTCTCTTGGGGGCAAGGTGACCTCAGCAGCAATTGGTTCTATTATTGGAGAACCAACTTCAGGTCTTGTAGTCGGCAGCACACAGCACTGCCTGAAGACCAGTGATGATGCATTTTGAAAACGTTGCCGAAAATCAGCAAATGTTTGTTGACCACATAATATCGCATCATGACTGGTTTCAGTGTTATGATGTTGTTCATATATATTGGCTCTCCACTGCTCCTCAAAATGTTGGCGCATCTCTAAATTCTCATGCTGATCACCTCCACCAGGGAACCCGCAAACAAAGGCGGCTACTGCCCATGGTTTGAAATGATTCCTGCTATCCAAACGAGAATAATTGTACTCCCACAAAGCATTTTCAATTGATGCTGCTTCCAATAGTTCATACTTGTTAGGAAAGTTGATGCTCACAAACATTGTGGTAAATCCACAATTTTGAGAAGGAATGGAAGTATTGAGAGAAGGCAGTGATTTGATGGGCGGAAGAATGCCACCTCCATCTCTCAAAGCGTCAACTGAAGACATTATTTTGTCAATTCGATCATCCCATACATTAGTTTGATTCAAGAGTTCCGTGATGGCCTGCATTGTGTCGTGCTGAGACCCCACAAACAACACATCATCAAGAGAGGAGACTCTGCTGATTATAACCAACAACTGATCGCGTTCCCAGAGAGAATATGTGCGATTGCCTGGATTTATTTGAGTTGCAAGCTTTGAGCACGAGTCACCTAGCAGACGATGAACTGTGCTGCACACATAATAAGTAAGTGGAAACTGCAGCCTGCGAGCTTTGGAGCGTGGGAAACCAACAGCTGTTGGAATGGTCCAGCGACGTGAGAGCCAGAACTCCTCTGCATCTTGTGGTATTCTATCCACATTCCTACATCCAGGTGGCAACAGCTTCACCTTAATACGCTGTTCCTCTCTTGCAAGATTCATATCAGGCAACCCAATAGCAACAACTAGCTGCCCTTGGGAGAAGCGAGGACAATTTCGAGTTGAACTGGTGTTATTGTATGTTAAGCGTAAGATTTGCCCAACATACAAGAACAGTTCTGCGGGTTCCTTCAAATGATGGGTGAGAAGCTTGCTTATTTTAGCGTTGGCTGGCTTGTAATTGCCTCCAATCACCTCTGTCTCATCTTCTGAAGTGATTATACAATGCTGCAAACCACGAGTTTGTTTCTTATGATCCAAGAAAACTCGTACAGCATCCGCGACTGCTGCATTTTTACCAACAACCCTGTGGTATTCATCGGGCACATCATTCCATGATGCGACAAAGTTGCGTGGAAAACACCGTGCTGACAGTGTTGATACGACAAACTGAACATCTTCAGCTGCAAGACTCGGCTTTCTCATTTTCTTGATAATTTCTTGCAAGTCAAAGTCTCTCCGTGAGCGCACAAAGTTTTGCAGACACATAACATTGAATAGAGTGTAAATGTTGGGACTCATCCATATTGCAGTGCCATCAACAGGTTTCAATTGCTTTGGATCACCTGATGCCAAGATGAGAACTCCACCAAAGGGGACATTTGTGCTTTTGATCCGGCGTAAAACGACATCCAGTATATTGAATAAATAACCAGGGATCAAGCCTATTTCTTCAATGACTAAGACATCAATCCGTTTCAGATGGGCTAATTTTCTAGGACTTCTTACCAAATTACCAAGACATTTTTCAGCAATAATTGCGACACTCTGCAAGCTGCTTTTACTCACAGGTAAGCAAAATAACATGTGTAAATGCTCCCCACCAAGGACTTGCGCGCGCTCTGCTGTTAATGCAGTTGTGATTGTCCTCAAGCCTTTGGACAAGGCGTAGAGAGCGGCCAACATCAGAAGGTAGGTTTTTCCCGCACCAGGAGGGCCAATTAAGAGAGGAAATTTGACAAATGCTGTCCCAACATTGCTGAATGAGTCAATGGTTGAAGTGAGTTTCTGAAGAGCCAACATTTGTTCTTCTTTAGAATCCTCACTTTGGCCAGGAAGATCCAGATTCAACTGTGGCACAAATTCAAAAACTTCACCACTACCCAAAATTTCAGGTTCAGGAGCATTTTCAAAGTTATAGTTCACTAGAATGGTGACCAGTTTGTCACGATTTGATTTTTCAAGCAAGCGCAATTGCTCTTCTGCGTCAGCTCTGATGGCCCTCAAACTGGCAAGAGGAACATCTGAGTACTCAATTAGTCCAGTATTAAAGTAATACTTGAGTCCGTCCATAGCAAATTTCAAGCATCTGCTAAAGGCTGAAGTACTCAAAGGTAACACACGTAAATCTCTCATTACATATGTGGCAAGTATCTCGTTGGCCTCAGCCTCAGTAGGATGGTTGGCATCAAGAATGAGGCCAGCCTTTTCAAAAGAATGTAATAGTGTTGGAAAACCAAAAAGATCAATTTCCGTGTCAAATTTGCCCTGGGTCAAAAGTATATGCACCAAAAATTTATTAAAACATTTTGGCTCAATACCCGAGGATACAACAACGACTTCCTTTGAACTTTCAGAATCCACAAAGTTCTTGAACATGGCAGATCTAGGTAAATCCTGCATCAGTTCTGCAGCCAGCCTCTCAACCAAATTTAGGATATCATGGTGATCAAAATTGCCATTCTGAGCAGCTAGCTGGCGCAAGTGAGTTTTCAATGCAGGCAAGTAACGGATGCGAATTCGCATCTGCTTGCAATCACCATCAATCCATGGGCTTGTCTCCAAATCTGCTGAGGCCTTGTAGCTTCGCACAGATTTCCCACTAAACCACTGAATGTAGTCAGATACTGAGCGCACAAAGAGCAGCTCAGGTGGCCGGAGATTGAATGTGCTGGTCGGGTCAACTGCAAGAGCCGACTGAGAATGCTCTCTTATGAGGAGCAATTGCGAGGGGGTAAATTGCCTCCAAGCTGGCAAATTTTCTCGTGATGAAACAGGCAAGAAAGAGCCATCGCGACCAACAAATTTCTTTGTCATTTGATTAGACGTAGACGATTTCACCACTGCACACCGGTGCTCACTTGCATGGGTAGAGAAGCTCTTGAATTCAACGTTGGAGCAAACGTATGGCAGGCCAAGCAAAAACCAAACCATCTCATTCAAAGATATCTCTCTGGCCAATGCTTCAGGAGTTCCATCTTTCATATTTTTAGCCTCTTGAGCCATCTTCGCCCCAGTGATTTTGCTGTGGTGCAATCCTTGCATAGTAACTGTTATGTCTTGAGAATTTTTAGCACGAGCTGCTATAACAGCTAACCTCTTCTCATCAGCACCAGCAGCGTACTTAACAAGGTAGGAAGTTTGGAAACGCCGATCACAGAGCTGCACATTTACCATGCTCTTGAAAGCAGCAAAAAGCCGAGCATTCGTTGGCACTCGTATGCAGTCAAGGTCAGTGGGGTATATATAGCGACCTCCCCTGAGCTCTGGAACAAGTGTAATTTCAGTACAAGATGGAGAAAACGGGCTGGGCTGTTTTGTGCCAAGCCCTAGACTCACGAGACGTTCCTGCGTATCCAGGTCAAACAAATCAGTCTTTTCTTTGAAATAGGGTGAACGACCATCGTGTCGAGGAACTCTACAGACGAAACTTCCATCCAATTTTCTCTTCTGACATCTCATTTTAGAATTCTTACATGAATGTTGGGTGAGACAATCACCCAATACACACAAATCATCATACTCTTTCTGATCCTTGATGAAACCATCTTCGATGAGACTGTCACAGTCTGTTCTGTTTGCAGCGCTGAATACCTCACTAATCCTGTTATGGACCTTCCTCACATTAGCTGCTTCGTGCAAATCTTCATCGGCTAATGTGAGTCCTCCATGAACATGTGGTCGGTTCCCCAATGCACCCTCCGACTGGAACTCATAACGGTACCAGTAGCTCCGGACTTTTCCAAATATTTCTTCATCTGATTTCTCCAAGTATTCAAAAAACAGAGAGACAGACCTTTCCCAAGCTCTACACAAAATTGGAGCATAATTTTGAAGGGCTCTATCTAGTGCTTCTTGGTCATTTCCATGAACTTCTTCTAGTGCGCGTCTGATTGGAGCCACTCCAAATGTCTCTCGGTCATTGCACGTCAGAGTGATGAAATAGGTCCAGGGCATGTCACGCATCATGGCCGATAAACGATTCACCTCTTTCCGTGAATCAATTTCATCAAATCGAAAATTAGTTTGTTGGTCCTCTACATGGATGAAGGCTTTATTTATATGCTCCAATCCCTTGTTCATTGCAATTAAGACAGAATTGTTCTGGAGCAACGAATTCAAGTAAACGTCAAACGCAAAAGCGATGTAAGAAGGATCATGAGATGTCAAGGAATTGTGGTCACAAAGGCGGACTCTCAGGTGATCGATCAATGTGGCAAACCCTCCAAATGTACTGCGTCTACCATATGGACCAAACATGACCGACGGCAGTGCACCAACAACTGACTCGTTAACGGTGGCCCAGAAAATTTGGGGGAATAACAAGCCTTCAGGATAGAGAAGCGGAAATTTTTGTTCTTCTCCAATAGAATGCAGGTGTGTGATGAAACGCTGCAATTTAACCGGAGCTTTTCTGTTCACATTAACCCGATCATGACAAGAAAGATGGTTGTTCAAAAGAAAGTGTCCGGGTGTTGTGGCACTACCTTGATATTCCACGCTTCCTTCACCAGAAAAAGCACTGAATGTTGGCAAATCTCCACCAGCCGAGTCCACAAAATACTCATCAGCATCCTCTGCATCCAAATGATCTGCAGCAGCATCAACATAGTCACGAGGGTCTAATAAATCGTGCAACTCATTAATCTCGGCAATGTTTTCAACTTCATCAATTTCTGGGGGGTGCATTTCAGGATCAGTTGCACCAACGCGCTCAGGATCATGGGGGTAAACTCGTTCCTGAACAATACCTGATTCATTCTCGTTACTAAAAATATTTTTTGCATGCCTCTCACAGATGCCAGTTGTGCACTGACCATGCACCACGCAACCAAACCGATAAGAACACCTCCAACGAATTGTAGAGGAACAATTTTCTTGGCAGCATAGCAAAGGAGGCGTTCCCTGGGGAGGCAGTGGCTCTCTCATCATGAATTTCTTAGGATGAGAAGCACACCGCAACTTTGTCTGACCACCTGACCAGTTGAGGTAATCTTTCTTTGTCAAAGAATCCAATGACTTCTCTTCTACGTATATAAAAAAATCCCATTCCAAATCTCTTGAGGTTTCGCTGGTCTTAGAATATGGTCCGCTGCATTGATGCCAGTCAAATTCTGCCGCCCAGCGAAAATCTGTCTCAAAGGTGTACTTGTTGGTGGCGTCCATCTGCTTTCTGCTGGCATAGCTCAAAAACCACTTGCCATTTAGTAAAGTGAAAGGTATAACTCCTCTGCAGCGCACATCACAACGATTGACCAAGATCACCTTTGACCCAGTTTCTACTGCTCTCCGCAAATTTCGACAATTTCTGTCAAGGTCGATGCTGGTAACTTGGCACAATTCCTTGAGAATTGCCGTTGCTTGTTGCATGGGGCGAGCATCTGGCGCTACCAAGCCTAAAAGAACAACATGATTGATGAGTGCCGTCTCAAGACTCAACGGATCACGAAGCGTTTTCTTCTGTTGCACTTGTTTGAGCATGCGTTGTAGACGAACGTGCAGCTCTCTATCCGGTGCAGTCCTCATACGCTCCAAGAAGAAGATATGTAGAAAACGAGAATTTAAAAGAGAATGCATGACAGAGTGCAGAACAATACCTGAATCAATTGGGAGACCCCTCTTCCCTAAAAATGGAACAAGGGTAGGTCTACAACCAGCTGAGTCAGCAGGGTGCACTACCTGCAACATGTCCGAATTTCCTATTGTATCTGGATTTTCAGCACCAACTTCAGCATGACGTTCCGTATAATTTTTCTGTAACAAAATTGCATCAGAACATTCAACGTATGTGCCAGTCTCACGAGCTTTTGCAGTTTTTTCTTCAGTAATGTCTCTACGGAAGTGCTCAAAAGATTCTATGAAGTCATTTTCAATATTAGGATAATGAATTTCTGCCTCTGTCACAGCACGATGAATATCTGGGCGATTTTTCAAAGCAAATCCAATACTGGATCTTTCTTCTTCAGAATAGAACCTTCCTCGATCTGGTCCTACGGCCAATGAGAATGAAGATGCACCCAAACCGCCGCCAATCTCTTTGACGACAAGTGACGATGAATTCTGGGCATTACTTCGACCACTTCGGACAAAATTTGGCCTGACAGTAGCTGGTGCAATAGCATCAGTGACAAGCAGACTGTCGTTTCCAAGCACAGGATTGCGAGGTGGATGAATAAAGAACTTGCGACCGTCTGAATGTTTCTTTGTAGAGCAAGTCACAATGCTCAACCCAGAATCTTTGTCAACAATCAGTGTTGCCCCTGTCATCCAATTCAAATTAGGTTTAACATAAGGCCATTCGGGTCTGGCTCCATCAAAATAATTGCCATTTGACCCAAAAGAAGAGAAGGATGGGTCAATCCTTTGAAGGTAATGACATGCTGGCAGAACACTGGAATCACACTCCCTTTCAAAATAAATATTACAACCCTGAGGGCATATGGCCCTTGGGAAACAAAAGGCATTTGCTATTTTAGTCATTGGGGCCAACTTATGAAGAGCTATTTGATCCCTGAAGTATGCTAAATCACTCGTTCCATCCAAAAACCTTGGAGGATATCTTGCTGTGTCTTCCAACAGAGCAGCAATCCGAGGGCTGAATGCAACTTGAGAATAACTGTAACGAATGGATTCCGGCAGCATCTCCACAAATTTCTCAACGTTACACTGAGCAGATGGCGAGGTTAGGAAAGTAAATAAGCATGCCGGCCATGCATTTTTCCAGTGGACTCTTTTATTCAAGTTTGCAGAGAGAAAGTCAAAGCAACATTCACAAACCAAAGAGCCTTGTCTCAAGTTATTGGAATCACCAAATTTTCGCGGGGAAAAATTTTCAGGAAGAGCCTGAAAATCAAGAGGATAAGCAGCGGTAGGAATTCTGTGGCAGTTTGAACATTCGTCAATCTGAGGAGCGACTGGTACTTCAGCTTGATCTTCATTCATCTCTTGTTCCATATGAGGCAATGTTTCAAGAGAGGAATTCAAGGGAAATATCACAGCACACCGTCTTCTGTTATGGCCAAGAAGACCACAATTTCCACAGGCTTGCTGACGACGAACATCGTTTGCCTCTGCATATACGTTTGACATTTCTTCTGACAACTTCTGTGAAGAATCTAAATTTTCAATCATATCCAACTGTGGTAAATCCTCAAAGAGATATAAACCTTCAGAAACAGCAATTGGCCTTTCAAAATCCACTTGGTGAGATTCTCTACGTTCAGCTAAACGACTTGGAATTGAACTCAAATTTTCGTCAAGATGAAGCAGCCCAAACTCTTCAGACATATCCTGATTCCTGCTGTTAGGGCACAATCTTGCCGTGTGACCTTTTTCACCACAAGTGACACACTTACTCTTAAAATAAGTAAGATCTATTCTTTTCAGTGATTTCTCAGACTGCTTATGATGTGGCGGCTGTTCACTAAATTCTGAAACTGATAGAGGTTCTATGCCAGGATGAGACGAGGTGGCTGAATCCACTGCTGGAATGTTAAGCATTTCAGAATTCACGCGGAAAGGTCCAGAAACTGTTATCCTTGATCTTTCTTCATAATTTTGAAGGCCAATGGAATCTTCAACAATTATTTCATTCCAGTCTTCTTGCAGCTCGCAGACAACAGGACTAGATGTTGCTGAAGAGGGATTGGGAGGAACAGGGAGCGCTACTGTTTGGACTTTTGGACAGTTTTCTATCAAGTGCCCAAATTGACCACAACCCAGACATTTCTGAAAACTACGTTTTTTCTTAGCCATCTGACAAAATTACCTTTCAGATTTACAAATCATAAATACCTGAAACAATGCCCATGTAAACTTTTAATAAAAAATAGTTATAAAGTTTAGCATTGCACAAGTTTCAATATATAACTATAATAACATAATTCAATTAGAGAAATCAGAAATTATGAAGTGCTATGGTGATAAATAGATAACAAAAAT